GTTTTTGACAAAATACTTCTTCAATAAGTCAATGCCAAGTTTATGTATCGCAGCTTTTGTTGACGATTTAAAATGCTTGTCTAAAGAAATATATTGAGGATTATTCAGGTAAAGTATTAAGTCAATTAATGTTCCATTTCTTCGTGCACCTATGCGAGCGCAATTCATATCGTAAACCTTTTGAGACAATAATGTTCCTTGTAGCAACAATTCGTCTAGCAAAAAGTTAATTGTTCCTTCAGCAATTAATAAATCGTTTGATTTACGCAATAATTCTTCTGTCGCGTATTTAGCAGGTTCTAAAACATCAATAATTTCCTAAACTAAAAAACCGGGATTTTCAATCCCGATCCCGATAAATTTCGGGATCCCGGGATTGATCGGGATCGGTAAATCCCGGGAAATCCCGATCCCGATCCCGATAGCGAGAAAGCCCAATTTGGGATTTTCAAGTGAACTTTATTCATTTTAAGGCAAAAGCTGATAATTGCTGAAAACTAGATAATTTAACCAAAATAAGAAGATATGGCTTCTGTTTATAGAAATTAATTTGTAATGTCGCAAAGCATCTACTTTCATCAAATCGTGGACAAAATTCTAAATCACAAACGTAAAAGTCATTTTACGTCGTTTGTTATTGGTTTAGGACTGTGTAAAATCTGAGTCCTACAAAAAAAAAACAAATTACATAATTCTTTTACGGGATTTGAGATTTTGTGAAATAAAAGAAAAAAATTAATATAAAAAGTGTCAAAAAAGTTGTTTTGCGTTGGGTAATGAGGAAGAGTTACTCAGATTGATCCACGACTCTAAGAGAATTTAAAGAATTATTCCTACACCTCAAGCCAAGAGTGCGGAACTGATAAAATACATTTTGATCAATTTTGATCATTTCATCAGTACCACACCATTTTCTCAAGCTTCCATTCAATTTATAAAGTTTTATAAAGCATCGTGCAAGCAAAAGGATGAGTTCGTTTATCTTTCATAAACATTTGCATTTATCAGACATTTGTTTATCAATTCATTTTCTGTTTCTGAACGTGTTCAAAATAAATTTGTTAGCAAATGTTTACATTTTCAATTTTGCGTCTCTATTTTTAATTCAACAACTGACAAGTTGGTTTCTATAAATAATATAAAAGTATGATTATCATTCATAGAAATTAAGTTATTATTGTCTATCAATAGAAATCTTTAGAATTGGAAAAATGTTCCGATAAATATCTGTTTTGTTCGACATCGGGAGATGTATGGGATTATTTATTATTGTGAATGCCAAGAAAAGTAAAATTGATGACCTTCATTAGCACTCATCAGCTATAATTAAGTGATGATTGAAGCTCAAAGAAAGATAACAAAAGTTTTCATTTACCTGACTAATTGTTTTGCTTGCTGTTTGCCTACATATCTCCTATCTCGTATATCCTTCCTGTTTCTTTCAACTAATCCTTCACCTATACATCCACTTTTATTTCTCACTTTCATTATTTTCTTCTATAAATATTTAAAATCAATAGAATTAGAACTAAATAGCTATTGAAACATAAAGCACGTTTCCTTATGTCCTTATTCTATTTCAAATTGATAGAAGGTGAAATTTCTATTGCTAACCTACTTTTGTATAAATTTTCACCAGAAGCAAAAGAATTGTAATTTCTCTTTCGAGTTAGAAACTCGGTCAGCAAAAGCATTTGTGATGCAATAAAAGTCAGAAGTGCAAAATAATTAATTTTAAGGGCAATAAATTTAGTAATGGATTAAAAATAGCTTTTAAACGGAGATCATGTCTCTCGGTTAATTCAGTTAAACATAAAACCAGTGAGATCCGCTTAACAGCGAGAGAGAATCTTTTATAAACGTAAACTGTAAGCTGTGGTCAGTCATAATACTGCATATTACGTGAAATGTAAATTAATATTTCTGATGAAACTTTCTTACATCCTCTTGCCTCCTTGTAAGAAGAATATTTTCAGAATATTCATAAAATCCTAAGCATTAAGGATACGGAAAGTTACCGAACAAAAGCAGACACCACAAGTGAAAAAAGTTTCACTTGACAAAATAAAAAGAAGAATCTCCTCGAAGTTCCATTACAATAAAAACTTTCGATTCTTATTTTATTACACTTAGTCACGACATTATCCTTTCGTTCTTTCTTTTCTTCACTTTTCCTTTTGCATGGTGGTTGTTGATTCTCTTTTACAATGTCATGCAATAATGTATGATGGTAAACAACTTGTTGATAGTTGACAATAACCTTATGGCGTGGTCTGAAAATAAATATCCGAGTAATCATATACAGCTTGCATTCTATATATTTATAAATCCATGATATTTTTATTACATCTTCATACCTTTTTAAATATATTTTTGTTTCCTTTTTTTGCAGTGATTCTATTTCCAAACAGCACCAATTCCATAATTAGAAATTTCCCAAAATAAGAAATAATCTTATCAAGTAATATGAGCATTACTGGTCTTACGTCACCACCTTTGTCAACAACCCAGGTGGAAAAGAATTTACGTCGAGTGAGATTTTCTTTGCCTGAAGCAAAGCTTAATATTGATAAACGAACTGTCCATGGGACCTCAAAATATGTTAACGGTACATTGATAAATGTGACGTCTATGATTCATACAACAAATAGTGATGTAAAAGTAAAGCCAACAAGTAATGGAAATACATCAAATGGTTTACAGCTTAAAACAAGTTGCTTAAAATCAAATGGTACTAATGGCATTCCAATATCTAAAGATGCTTCAATAACGACTGCATCTCAGTACAAATTATCTTTAAACATTCGTCCAGCATCGGCTATTAATGGAGCTCAAGATTTTCCTTCAACACAATTATTAACATCTCAAGGTCAACGTCATTCGCTTCCTACGGCATCAGCAACTAATGGAAATATCAGCAGGAGACGTACTAGTAAATCTTTAGTAAATGGACGAAATGATAAGTCATTCAATACACTTCCTATAATTGAAAATTGTTCGTCACATATTCTTGAAAGAAAGTCATCAAGTTTAGATGACAATTTTGATGATGATATTGGATGTGGAAGAGATGAAGCAAGACGAGATGAAAGGGACTTAGAACATAAAATGATGACTGTAACGAATTTAACGAAATATAAATCAAGTGATGATTTGAGGGATTCAAATAATTATAAACTTAAAAATAGTTCCGTTTTAAAGCTTCCGGAAGCTTTAAATGGATCGGCTGTGAATGGACAGAAAGTACATAAAATTAACATTCTGTCTACAAATACATTGAAAGTTCCTGAATTTAGTGAAAGTAAGAAATATAGAAGAATTTTTATTCGGTACAGGAAATGAACTTTTAACATGCTGGATTGCTAATTGTTGATGTTAAATTTTCATGTTTTTGTATTTTCATTGATCTCCAACAAATTTTATTCACTTATTAACATATTTATCCCTTTAATAAAGTCTAACGTTTATGAAAAATTTAAAATGATTTTCCGATAATTTTTCCACGATTGCAGCGCAACCTCTTCCTCAAAGCAACGAAACAACCCGAAAACACATAGGTGATGACGAAATAGAGTATGAAATAGAAAATGATGAGGAGGCAAGCAATGAAAACTTGGACGAATTTTTCAAATTCGTGGAAAAGTGGAGAACGAATCGAGTTGCTGGAAATAAAAAGATTGATGACATTTTCAAAAATTCATCATGTAAGTGTCTTTTCTGATAAATTTTTGAGATTAATAAAGTCGACAAACTCTGTAAATTTTCTACGCCATAGAGGAAATGATTATCACACTATGAACTCAATATCTGATATAATCACTTATTTTAGATATGGCATGAAATTGACAATGTTCCGTATCACATGCACACAAACGGTTATAATCATCATTGCAGTTCATTTATGTCTAATTGCAAAACAATTTCGGGAGAAATACTTCCGGAATGTTATGTAACTTGTGCAGTAGCATGAGAACTAGTAAGTTATTCAAGCTTTTTGAGCAATCAGTTTTATCTGAATTTGATAAAATGCAATAATTTATTGGGTCGTTCTCAAATAATGTGTCTTAGCAATCTAAGGCGTTAACACTCAGTTTTAATCATACATTGAATAATTCCTGGTTTTTACTAAGTTCAATAAGTGCTGATAATCTTGTTTTGGACTCCTGCTTGAAAGAATATCAAACTATAAGAAGGAATAAAGAATACTTTGGCTGCTGCATAGGTAAAAAATGTATTTCAAAAACATTTGTTCAAATTAAAGGTTGACAGCTAAATCCATGTGATCTTTACATGCTCTCAAATATTTTCTCGTCAGTTGCGTAAAACAGCATACACTCTCCTATAATTTGCTATTCATCTTTCTGTTACATTTTCTTTTTTTCCCTCCAATCTGGTAAACCGAAGAAGAGTTTAATTGAAAGAAAAAGAATCAGAAATGAGGAGTCGAAATCCGAATGAGTTTGTCGACTTCGACCAATTGTTTTATTTTCTAATAGTATCATATCTCTTCCTTATTTACAGTTCAGAGCCGGTGTTCGTTCAAAAATTCAGAGTCAAAAAGGTAAGTTCTTTAGTTCATATCCTCTCTCCTAACATGATACACATCACTTTTTATGAGAATGTTCACGATTTGAAAATGAGAAATTGAGAAAAAAAGTTATTCGCTCAATTTTTGCTTGTAGCTTTTTTCTGTTGTACAAAAATATATCAGTACATCATGTGCTTTCTTTTCGAGTAGATGGAAACTAATTAGCTAAAGTAGGAAAAAATAAATATTTCTCAGTGTGTGGCTAGAAAATTGTTTTTTAAGGAACAAAAGTTCAAAAAAAGAAAAAAATGAAAAATTAATTTTCAATTTTCTGAGAAAAATAAAAAAAGAAAATTTTGTTGAAAGTGAAAACTGTGAGGAAGAAAATTTATTGGCGGTAAATTATAAGAAAAATATGTGCAAAAATTGAGAAAGAGCAAAGTTTATAAAAAAAAAAATCTTGCTGTGTACGAAGAAAGTGAAGTAGCTTTTAGAAATTCCAAGTAATTGTTGTTAAGTCCGATTAGACGCCAAACACAAAAAAGGTAAATTAATTGTCGTTGATTAAACAATTTGTAAAGGCATGAAATTTATGGAGCTCTTAAGTTGGCACTTCTGCTTTCCTCTTTTCTGCACGCCAATACATTTGGAAATGAAAATTTACGAATCACAAGATCGACATGCTAAAAATAAGCTACAATTACCATAAAGCAGTCAAAAAATGGAAGAGGAAATTTCTATTTATGCGTAAATTTGTTCTAGCTGTACAATAAAATATTTTGAGTTATTGGAAACTGAACAGCAACAGTGAAAATTGCCAATTTAAGTCAGTTTATCCATTTTGTTTGGGTGGTTCGGCATGAAAATATGAAAAGGTAGCCTTTTGTGTAGATAAGACTTATAGACCTAATATCTCTTTACCGTATAGCATGGTTTAATATTTACTATATAGTTAAGATACAAGAGTTCTGGTTGATATGAGATTTGTTATTAGTCGATTTGTGGGCTTTGCCATTATACTTAAACTTTTATCGTGTCCCAAAAATTTCACTTAATTTTGTTTTTCAAAAAAATTTATTTATACTTTTGGCAGAAAATAATAAAATAATGAAATTGGAATCAGACAACCTTTTTTAGAGTAAAATGGCAGTAAAATTGGAAAAAAAAAATACTTGCCATACATGCGCTAGATATTGAAGTGATGAATTAGTTTTTTTGAATGAGTGGAAATTCGAGCTATCGGAATCAAGTTCTCCATTTTGTCAATATTGAGAAAATTTACCAAAACCTTATGACTCGATATTTTGTGCAATAGATTATGTAATGTAATTATTTTCTCATCAAAATCTTAAAAGTTCATGCACAGTAAGAGATTTATCATTCCGCACATCTGTGATACTCGCCTATAAATTTCTACTAAATTGATGAACCTACACCAACAAGCTGTAGGTAGTAAAAGAAAAATCGACTTTTTAAAAAGATCCAGAACACTAAAATGAGTTCATTTCAATCAATTAAATCTTTCAGCAAGGAATCAAAGTGTATTAGGAAGTGAGAAAAAGTGTTTTTTTTTTCGGCCACAAAACAACGCAATAAAGAACAACAAAACATTTATCAGATTTCTTTCTTTCTGTAGTTTTTTCTTCTCTTAAATAAATGCCGCACGTTGTTGTGATGATTTAGAGTAAAAATAGCCTCACACATCTTCTTGACGTCCCGATCACTTTAAATTAATCTCATAAAAAATAAGCTGGGGCATCGCTGGCTGTTCACATAAAATTACGTAAAAAAATTTAAGAGAGGTTTAATGAAAAATATTGTTGATTCAAATTTTTGGCTCATTCTGCTGATCTCCCATATGTGCACGAGTCTATGAACTTTTTGGTTTCGTTCCTTCTTCTTAAATTAATGAAAATTAGGTTAATTTAGTGCTTTTCATGCAAGCAAAACACAAATATTTCTGTAAATTTATAAATAAGTTAAACTTGGCGATAAATTTGCATACAGTTGACATGGAAGCGCATTTTTGACAGAAATGAATGTAGAGTTTGTTCATTAAAAGTATTTCTAGTTTATTCATTGTTCTTTAAAATTAATGAATTATATTACTTATCAGCCAATAATTCAGTCAGACAATTTATTCAGCTCATGCTTTGTATTGTAAAATTTCTCTCGAAAATAAAATTTAATCTTCATGTCACAGCCACACATATGTTCACGGGAAGAAAAAGAAGCTCAACAAAGATAAATGGCAAATTAGTTCATGAAAGTGTGACTACATGAAAATGGCACTAATTAAGATCAAAAATTTCAAACAAATAAATTTTAAACTTTATTTTGTATTTAAATTAATATAAATTACAATGAACTTACTCGTGGAATATAAGCTGATTTTTCGAAAAAATTAATACGATTATTTACAGTATTTCGAGTCGAAACAATTCACAAATTTATTTGCATTTATTGATAATTGGACGTAACCCCAATAAGAATCGAAAATAAATAAGATGAATTTGAATTGCGGTTTAAGTATGCACATAAGTATTTGCTCTGAAAACATTCACAATTACGTATTATATTCTGATAACTGTCAGTGCAAATAACGAATCATCAATAATAATTTTAATTTGAATCAACTTTTTTTTTCAAATTGAACTTATTTTATTTGTGCGTTAACTTTCAAGGATATGATAATAACTTGTGTAAATTCCGTTTCACAAAAGTCATCAGAATATTTCGCCAATTTTTCATGCTCTAGTTGCGTACAGATTTTCATTCACGGCATGCAAATAATTAATAATGAGAAAATTTCAATGACATTGAGGCATTTAAATGATCCTGAAAGGATGCTGGTTTTATTTACAATTAATTCAATAGACGACTTATTCCTTCATTACAAAGAAGACAATAATTTACAGAATAATTTATAATAGCATCAATTTGACTATTTTTTGATCACTGCTGACGGATCTAGAGTATTTCTGTAGTCTCAGTTGCCACTCATGTAGTTTGTTTCCAAATTACTTATGTCTAATACGCAAAATTCATTCAAGTTGAATTGGATGAAAAACTTTTTGCAAAACTTTCAACTTGCTACAACTCAATTCATCAGATATACTGAAGCTTTATGAAGGAACTGTATAATGTTAATGACAATATTTTCATTCAAAAGTTGCTATTCATAAAACTTTTTAAAAGCATCTGTAAGAAAAGTAATGAAGGCAATGTTCTGCTCTAAAGCATGTTAATTAAAAGCTTTTTGTTGTTAATGTCTATCACAAAACTGCACAAAACCTTTTTGACTTTAACGATGTTAAATAATTAGATTAATTAGCATCGATGAGAAGATGATTAATATTTCTTATTTGGTGACTTATAATTTGTCTATGCATGTTTTAATAAACATGATTAAAGGTTTATTCTAGCTCTTTGTAGCTTTGTTCATTAGACTGATTATTACTGCTCAAAATGTTGGTATTTGAAGTAAGCAGTATGTCTATCACGTGACATTAATAAAATTTCATTTGAATATTAACTTTGAGTGGGATTCGTAGAATCGTTTTTAAATTCCTCCTCTATAAGTATATGATCTAATAACATAACAATTTTCGAATAACTAAACAATGACTGCACGTGTTTTTTTTCTCATTTGGTTATCCAAACATTCAAATGATTTATGACGAAAGTTTAACATTAAAAATTGTATCTAGTGAAGAATTACTTTGTGATGTTGCAACGGTGCCTTTACATCACTGCACATAGGTTCTTTAAAACCTAGATATAACTTCTTTATCATTCTTCAATAATTTTAAACATTTAGGAACTTTATAAAATGCTGTGATTAATAGAAGTAATGTTGTTTATCTTAAACTGAATATAAGCTCATCATTGATACTTATAATGATTTTTTTAAGAAGAACATACTTAAAGTTAATTTTGATATGATATAATCAAGTTAATTATTAATCAATTCATTATAAGACATTCAAGAAGGTCTTTAATTACTAAAGAAAACTATTATTCGTGGATTTATATTTATTATAGGAAAAGGATCTATTTGCGTCATTCTTCGATGTTCCAATAATATCGATTTCACCTTTTGAATAAATTCGATTGAGAACTGTGGGTAAAATGCGAAATTTTGGTAACAAAATTCATCATTAATATATTCATACTTTATCCTTTTCTTCATCCCTTTAACCTTTCTTTTTGTTAGATGTTGAGAAGATTATAAGTAAATAATAATAACAGTAAAAAAGTAATAACGAGTCTCAATTAAGAGTCGAATTACATGGAAAATACAAATTTTCATCACTGCTGATCTTATCACTTCATCACAATTAAGTTACTACCTGTCTCAAAGGATTACTCTATAAAAATAGTTCAATTATATAAAAGATAATTAAGTTTGATGTGAAATTATTATAGATTAATTAAAAACAATAGAAAATGCAATTTGGGGTTGTTCATTTATGACGTACTGCACACAATAAATACTTAAACCATTGTCAAGTAAGCTCGAGCTTAGTGCAAGGACCATGTGATTAGAAAACGGATGTTTTTAAAATCGAGTCCCATTAAATTTCGACCGTCACAAAGGAATGATCCCTACATCGAATTTATGATGAAAAGTAATAAAATTGAATAAACTGCTGTACTGGGAAGAGAACCATTTTTCCAGTAACAATATGTATTAGATAGAAAACAATAAGTTTAATAATTTATTTAAAGAACGTTGACAATAATCATCATGAAGTAATCAAATGTTTCCAATTTAAATTCTTGGATGGCTTCAATGGATTAAAGACTTAATTTAACGTACAGTAAAATTGTATCTTATTAGATTACAAGTCATGGATAATAACAATTGCAAATGCATATCAAGTAATTGTGAATCCACATTTGTATTCTCACTTCAAAAGTAATCTTTTGCTTAATCCACTTCATGGTGGAAAATGAAGAAATATTTTCCTTCTTCTTGACTTAATCTTCTTGCAATTTCTTTGGAAATTCTTTGTTTTATTTTCTCAGACATACATTTACTTTCTTCTTCCCGTGTTTCAATTTCATTTCATTGATATTCATTAGATCTCTCTTTTCTCGCATTCCCTACATTGAACTTGCAATGTCAATGCAATAGATTAAAACAATGTCGTTCGATAATCGTGAATATCAATTGATTTGCGTTGGAAGTAATAAAAAAAAATATTATTATTATTTGTATGCAAACGATAACTTCACGTTGCTTTCATGTGATCGGAATTTTTTTCGACCAACTTTATGCTCATTGCAATTCACTTTAATTCATGTGTTGAAGAATAATGATGCCACTTATTAAGTCAGTCAGTTGAGGTGTTTAGCTGTTGCGAAAAACACACATTTTTATAGTAACTATTTTTAGCGATGACTTTAAAAAAATCAATTTAAAGTTTTCTATTTTTTATTTTGCTTTTCTGTTCCACAAAAAGGAATGCGAATTGATTTTTTTTTGTAAACGAAAAAGAGTAGAAATTTAAAATAGAAAGAAAGGCAAAGTAATTTTTTT